AAGTAACGTCCAGAACGTGCTTGCTGCACCCCGCGTAGTTTACCTTTCAGCCTGCAGTTAGTTGCTTTCCGCCAGAGACATCGACCACCTCATAGATGGAAGAGTGCCCGGCAGCGTGCGGCGGGGATTCAGGCCTTGCTTTCGAGGATTGATTGATTCTGACGTGAAGAAGCAACCGCCCGATGTGGCACATGTTTGAAGCTTAGCTGCGCATCACACCGAATCCTTCATTCAACGCCCGTCCATTGAACGTTTCATCAGGCACCCACGAAACGGATGGTACTCACCCAATTCAGTCTCCCATCGAAAGTTTCATGGGGCACGCACAAAACAGATGGCCCTGACCCATGAGAACTACTCGTTGCCACCTCATTTTGGACCCCAATACACAGGACTCGACCCTGGGTTGCATCTGCTTGTTGTTCTACCTTGCCCTCCGTCTAAGATGCCTCAGCATAAACAACATATTGGTGAAATTGAGGGCGAAGCATGAAATTGAGAGCGGGAGCCAAAAAAAATATTATTCGGGTCCAGACGCCTCTTGCCATTTCTTGGGAAGGAGAGGGGGCGGGCTCTTCCAAGAAGCGGCGCAAATTGAAGGTCTCATCAGCAGCGTCACGAGCATATGCGTGTCACGTCGNCCCCAATACACAGGACTCGACCCTGGGTTGCATCTGCTTGTTGTTCTACCTTGCCCTCCGTCTAAGATGCCTCAGCATAAACAACATATTGGTGAAATTGAGGGCGAAGCATGAAATTGAGAGCGGGAGCCAAAAAAAATATTATTCGGGTCCAGACGCCTCTTGCCATTTCTTGGGAAGGAGAGGGGGCGGGCTCTTCCAAGAAGCGGCGCAAATTGAAGGTCTCATCAGCAGCGTCACGAGCATATGCGTGTCACGTCGTCGGATGCTGCAGCTAGGAGCTACACAAGTTGCTAGATTTCCCCAGATTGGCTATTCCTGCCTCAAACTGTTGCAGGGCGGTATAGACTCGGCTGGTAGGCTCTGCTGTAGCTTCTGCTCGCCGCTGTAACTCCACATCGAGAGACTCCCACAGGATGACCACAGGATGACCAGGGTATCTGCTTGTAGCTACGGGCTGGCCGTTCAATTCAAGCTACACAGCAGGCTCCACCTCTCAGCATTGGTCCAGCTGCAGCGCATCGCGCAATCTCGCTCTCAATCAGATGCTTCGCTGTCAATTTCACCAATATGTTGCTCATAGTGGACTCTACATTAGTCTATTGCTCTTTTTTCATATCTATCTTGGAACTATTGGACCTGTAGCAAGCACAACCACATCTCCGACATTCGGCGTACTCTCAAAATCAAGGACGTGGCCTCACGTTTATGCGACCGCATACCACTTGCGTTCATTCTAAGCTTTCGCACTTTGCGATACATTCGTTTCTTGTTGGACGTTGTAGATACGGTAGACTAGGACAAACAGCATATTTGGGCGTCCACACCCGCCGCAGCGTCCACAGACGGACTTCACGTTTCGGACGATGAAGATGGAGTTGGAGTGGACGTGAACGTCCATGCACGTCTGTGGACGCGCACGTTTGGTACCAATGTCGACTACCGTATACCGCCCGCATGATGTTCGCTTCCTCTTCTTCGATATCGAATTCGGGAGACGGGGGAACGGAAAGCGTTCGAGACGCAACGCAAGTCACCGTTAGCCTTTCGTTAGCAGTGTACAGTACAAGTACCTTTTCCGTTCGAAATGTTTCTCCGCAAGGACCACACGTGGATCGTTGCTGTCGCAAAGAAATAAGAATCTGCCGGGATATACAAGGTGGGTGTTGGAGTCATGGGGTGAGTGGTCAAGCACGTCACATTAGCACAGTTCATTCACCCTTTCCCACTGTGACGAGTCGCCGAGGCAGTTCTTTTAAGCTTCAACCTTACATGATCTCATGGCGGCAAGATAGCTGCCATCGAATCAAATCCGACTATTGATCTCCCCACGTCAACGCCTTGTGTGTATTTCCTCAAAATCAAGGGCGGTGGAATTCTCGACGACATTCGCACGATATCGGGTAGGTGCTCAGGAACAAATCTTAGCTTGAGGAGAAAAAGAACAGCGGTAGAACGCCAATGCATACACACACGAGACGCGATACAAGAGTTAACGTGGTAATGAACGTGCGGGGCCACAACCTTCATGGTCACACCAAAACTACCGAGAATGTGTGATTAACGTCTTGAAACGTGCTGCTGGCTGTTGCCTGCCCCCACGGAGCACGAAGGACCAATCGGCCACAATATTTCCGCCGCGGCACAGCAGTGGTTCCGCACTGTTTTACTTTCCAAGTCAGGGTCGCAAGCCCCCCCCACAGTCTCGTTAACCACCAAGAAACACCATCCTGTCCCTATTAACGGATGGAGTTCCTTATTTGATCATGTCTGCGTTGGGGCACCCTCCAACGAATCCCGCTAACCTAGCAGTGAACTAGCAGAAACACCAAACACCAATCTGTCCCAGTGAAAGGATGGAGATGCTTCGTCATGTCCACAGGCGGCACGAAGGACAAACAACCACAAGCCGCTACTTAAGTTCTGCTAGTTCTCCCCTCCAGCCGATCCGGTTGACGCCGCAACCATCGCCAACGTCAACATCGCTCTTCAGCCAGACGGCTACGGCAGCTCCACGGTACACTACTAAACGCCAAAATCGCTGCCTGTCCTTTCCCTCTCATGTCGCTAGCGCCTGCAGCGTTTAGCTGGTGAAGGAGGTGGTAAACTCGTCGCAGACGCTGGCGAGCTTCTGCTGCATGTCGTCGGTGAGCTCGTAGTTGTCCTTCTTGATGCCTTCCAAGATGTCCGACTGTGTTGTGACGGATATCGCACGTGGTTGAACATCGTCACATACAACGGAGGAGGTCAGTCCAGTCCACACCATCATTGCAAAGCGAAAGGTAAAGGTGGGGGTTTAGGCTGCACGCGGCAACTTCATCCAGTGGACCAATGAATCGGCTACTACTTCGTACACAGCATTTTCTTACAGCATGTGCAGCAGCATCGCATAAAATGGGAACTACGAAGTTGTGGATGCCATACCGGAGCGAGTTCGAGCGATCAAACGCACAAGCGCGCGGAACGAACAATTCCGGACAGTACATGGGTGAATCAAACGGAGGAGGGGGGATTGACGACAACACGCTACTCCTTTTCGTCCTTTCGACTCACCGAGTGAGACGCCTTGATGTGGGCCAGCCACGCCTTCTCGTAAGCGGTAACCTTGTTCACATCCACGCGATCGATGAAGCCTTTCACGCCCGCGAACAGGATCACCACCTGTTTCCGGTCGAGAAACAACCAACCAACAACCACGCAACACGAAAAGCAAGAATTTCGGTCAAGACAAAACTAGAGGTGTGGCCAAGTTGGGCTGTGCCCTCCATTCGCTTCCACATCCCACGAGGCACGACTTGCCCACACTAGACATGCGAAGCAGCTGCGCAATGATGTGTGAGGGAACATAATCCCACACATCTCTACGTGGAAGCATACCCTCAACCGACCATGTGCAACAGTACATGCTCTCCGAAGAGACCCTTGGGTTGTCGTGGGTGGCAGAGGAAGGCCAGTAATTGACACGTCGTAATCACTACGGGAAAAACAACAGCCCACATCAACAGTGACAACGGCAACAACGTAGCAAAAAGCCTGTTACCCACAGGGCAAACATCACACTGCGTGCTCCTCGGGAAACCGCGGAAATACAAGTTGGTCACCCCACGACACCATAAATTCGTTCCTGATCTACCGCAGCCTCTCTTGTAGGACAGAAGGATTTGTTGTCATATTGGGCAATTTAAATATACCCGCAACAACGACGACATAACAACCAAGCAACCTGAATCCCAACATCAGCGACAGGCACCAAACACTAACAAAAACACCCACATCAACAATACCAACATCAACGGCACCAACACCAACACCAACACCAACACCAACACCAAGCAACCAAAGCATCACCTGCTCCTCAACCTCGAGCGGCACGTACTGGTCCTGCTTCAGCAACTCGTACAGCCGCACCCCCCGGTTAAGCTGCTGCTGGGTAGAGGCGTCCAGGTCAGATCCGAACTTGGCGAACGCAGCGACCTCACGGTACTGCGCGAGCTCCAGCTTCATGGTACCGGCCACCTGCTTCATGCACTTGCGCTGTGCGGCGGACCCCACGCGGGACACGGAGAGACCCACAGAGATTGCGGGGCGCTGGCCCTGGTAGAACAGCTCGGACTCGAGGAAGATCTGGTGGGGGTTCGGGGAAATGCAAAAAAAGGGGGTGGGAGGGGGAGCGGTAATGGGTGGGGTAAAAATAAAATATTGAATAGGGGGTAAAGGGAGGAGCGGCAAGATGAGTCAGGGGGGGGGGGTTGCCGGAAAGTTCTGCAAGATCTCAACACGCAGGAGATGCGACCAACCCGTTTGTGGGCAATAATTGTGGGCAAAAACACGCTTCCAAAAAGTCATGATACGTAGTGTTGCTGTCACGAGCAAAACAACAATCTCCTGTTTCCAGGGGTATGCTTGCAGACTAGCACGCCACACACCAGCAAAACACCACAGGGGCATGCTTACAGACTATTTAGCACGCCGCACAACACCAGCAACACCAGAAAAAAAAATACTTCGCACCTGTCCGTCCGTGATACTGATAACGTTGGTGGGGATGTACGCCGAAACGTCACCGGCCTGGGTCTCGATGATGGGCAGGGCGGTCAGCGAACCGTTGCCGGAGGCGTCGCCGAGCTTGGCCGCGCGCTCGAGCAGACGGGAGTGTAGGTAGAACACGTCTCCCGGGTAGGCTTCACGGCCGGGGGGACGGCGCAATAGCAGAGACATCTGCCACAAGAAACGGGGGGAGGGGGGGGGGGGGGGG